GAAATACGGTACTCTCTTCCATACTCAGAATGTTCATATGCAGAAAGAATGAATTGGAAGTGGGAGTCGATCCTCTCCCTAGTAAAGCTAATGACCCACTTGTAAAGCTTGCTTTCTCTCCCTGTGAATCTGGATTCTGTTAATCATTTTAGTACCCCAAGGAGAAATGCTTCCTCCAGAAGATGTAACCACAGTTTTTCAGATGAATTGGAAAGTAAGCTGAATCGCTGTAAGCCACTCATGCTTCTGGGAGAAGAGGGGAAAAGAAGAATCATGGGATGGTTGATTCTACGATCAGGAGGAAACAGAGCCTCACTGCCCAAAAGAGATGAGTATAGATGATTCCCTGGGCAGCATCCTATTATTACTATCAATTGGTAAAACTTAATGAAAACCACAGCTGCCCCCTATAGGCTAGACCCACAGGGGCTGTGATCTCCCAGATGGGAAGGAAGGTTTGTGTCACCCATGAGCTAAAGACCCTACACCAGTTACTATGCCGGCTGACGATGAAAGGAAAATGAATTGTACAGCAGTGTGGAGAAATCACAACTACCAACTACAGCCCCATGACTAGCATTTCCTTCTTTACCACGTCATGGATGCATTGGTATATTTTAACGAATTTTCATTGTATTTCCTTACTCCCTACCATGCCACTTATATATGTAAAATAAGTTTTGTTGGTTAACTTTACATTTCAGGCCACACTGACTACAGAATATTAAGGTGGAATCCAACAGAAATAGAGAGGAAAAGAACATCACTTAGAGCTCTTAGACTTTGAGCTGGAAGCAGTTAACTGACAAGGCTCAGAGTTGCCTTTCTTTGCTGGGAGAGCTTGAAAATGTCTTGATTGTTTAAGGAATGTTGCTTCATACGAAGCATAAGTGTTTTTAAGTTAAGAATATATGTGGATATCAGGTAGGAATAGAACTGGGCCTGTGCAGGATATCAGCTATTGTTGGAAAGTCAAGCTCCGACACCCTTCCATTTATTCAGAGACCTTTAAAATGTTAGTCTAAAAAAAAATATGTGAGTCTTAGTGGAAGGGAGGCCTCACTTCCCATTACAGAAGTTGAAATTGAGGCAGGAGAATAGGGTCTGGAGGCAGGGAACCTACGGCTGTTTCACCCTGACTTCCTAGAACTGAATCAAAAAGAAAACCCCACCTCTCCACACCCAAGTTACAAAAAGGATAAGAGGCTACTCACTTTGCACTGCCTCACAGATGAAAAATGGAAAGTACCTTTGATTGGTCCCTTCCTACAACCAATCAGGCTGGTCATGGTGCAGGTCTCCACTTGCAACTTTGTAACTTCACTTCAGCCTCTGATTGGTCACCTCTAGCAACTAATCAGACTGGCCTTGGACCACTTCTTCATTTACATAGGGTGTAACCAAGTTACCCGTGGGAAACCTCTAAAGAGCATTTAAGCCCCTGAAAATTCTGTAACCAGTGCTCTTGAGTGGCTTATTAGAGCCTGGTCCCACGCTGTGGAGTGTACTTTCATTTCAATAGTTCTGTGCTTTCATTGCTTCATTGTTTTGTTGCTTTGTTTGCGGATTTTGTCCGATTTTTTGTTCAAAATGTCAAGAACCTGGATGACTCATAGTTAAGACCATCCACAGGTAACAGAATGGCCAGACACTCCTTTCCCATGCCGCCTGCTATGGGAATACGTGTCCATTGCCTAGGCTTAAATATTCAAATGTTCTAGTGATACAAAGCCAGCTGAGAAGTGCTTCTGGGTGCTAGTTTGAGAATAAATGTGGATTCCAGCAAGGGCAGTGACTAGTGTTAAAATTCTGGAGGCAAGAACAGGAGGTGTCTGGTGATGGTGACATTGAGTTCTTACTGTCAGCAGTGGTGATCACCAGAGGTGGCTTCCTGATAAAATGTGCCCAGTTCCTTTGTACTGACTCTAGTCTGGTCCTGCCCATTTTATCAGCCTGGATTCTCTGGCCTTTTTGCTGATTGAGTTAGCAACACAATATCCTCTCAGCAAATGCCTTTTCTGCTTCATTAAGTTAGTGATATTTGGTCTCCATTACTTGTAACCAAGAGCCTTGACCTTTACAAGACTGATTCATGAATAACATTTTATTTTCATCTCGGGACAAGGAACCACAAAACATTGAGAGATGTATAAAAAACTGTGCAGATTTGTTTTGTGGGGGGGAGCATGATTATTGTTTACTCAACTGCTTTTTTTCATAGAATGAACTAAATAATACAAAAATGGAATGACTTCTATCAATAGGAAATAAAACCCTTTTAGGAAGAGCAATGCTCACCTGCAAAAAAGATATGGTTGAATGTCTCTTGTGCCATCTGTCCCCAAAGTCCTCCATTATGTCTCACCTCCAGTGTGAGTTTTTTGCCTTTCTTTTCTTCATCTAGTTTTGCTACCGAATGGGGCTGGCCTGGAAGGTACAGGGGAAGTGGACGCTTCAAATCCTGCAGGGAAAATGGGGAGAGAGACAAGGATTTCGTTATACAGACCTTTTCACATTGCCAGAGTTAATCTTTTCCTAGCGTATCTCTGGTGTCTTAACGTGCTAAAATAATGTCTATCACCTTATTATTATTATTATTTGAGACGGAGTCTTGCTTTGTCCCCACACTGGAGTGCAGTGGCACGATCTCTGCTCACTGCAACCTCCGACTCCCTGGTTTAAGCTAGTTTCCTGCCTCAGCCTCCTGAGTAGCTGGGACTACAGGCGAGCACCACCATGCCCAGCTAATTTGTTGTATTTTTAGTAGAGAAGGGGTTTCACCATGTTGGCCAGGATGGTCTCGATCTCCTGACCTCGTGATCTGCCCGCCTCGGCCTCCCAAAGTGCTGGGATTACAGGCGTGAGCCACTGCACCAGCTGTCTATCACCCTCTTAACTTCAAATTACCTCCTAGAAGGCCTCCATTGTATTACTTAAGCCTTCAGAGGCTGAGCAAATTCAGCAAGATGGTCAGTGTAAAAAACCTGACCCTCTACAAGTCTCAGAGAAAGTAGACCAGTGTAGCTTGCTTATCCTTGTGTGGTGGTTCCACAAAGGGAACAAGCAACCCTTGGTCAAATCGACAAAATACCATGAGCGAGCTACTGTCAGGAGTTGCTAAGTGCATAGACTCTAGTTCTTAAATGTGCACTCGGAATATCAGTGAACGGCTCAGCTTTATATTCATTAAATATCAGTAAACAGCTCAGCTTCGTAAAGCTGGTGAAGGGCAAAGCATCACCTGGCTGTCCTCAGCTCACTTCCAGTGCCAGGTGCCTGGGTGGGCTTGTTTATTCAGAACAAATTAAACATAAATTGGTGGGCTCCCTTTAATCCATTTACTGTTCTCTTGTTTGTACAGAATGGGGACGAGTGGAAAAAGGGATCTATGTGTTAGAAAATTCAAGTCACATGACATCTCAATGATGGCAAAATAAGAAACAGCTGACATCATGTTTCTAAATATACAACATTTTGCAACAGCTACCTGGAGCAAAAACAGAAAGGTTGAGAAGGCAGAATAATGACTTTTCGTCTCTGGAAGTCATCCATGTTCAACAGTCTGTCAGGAAGAGAGACAGGTGGGGCTGGGTCGCCACCTGGGGTGAGGGCTGCTGCAGGGCTTTTATTAAAATTATTGCACAGGAGTGGAGAAGATAAACACTCAGTGGGTGCAGTGGCACAGCCGGCCCATATGTCTGGCCAGAACAAAGGGGTTTCTCTAAAATAAACCTACCTAATGTAGCACCATCTTTTTTTTTTTTTCCAAAAATATCTTGTACACTAGTCAAAAAGATCCTAGGATTTATAAATTCATTTATATGCCCCTATGTCTTCAGTACCGATGTCTGGAATTTATTATCTGGCTTTATCATAGCTTGAGGTATAATAGGGCAAGAAGAATATAAATTAAAATTTAAAATATCAGGAGGGCAAGAAGGATATTGATTTAAGTGTCTATGTGCACTTCACACTGTGCCCTCTATAGATCCTCATAATAGAAGGCACTGAAGAGTTAACTAATGGAGCCCTCTGGTATATGGATAAATCAAGGTCCAGAGAGGCAGTGTGACTCATTTAAGATCACACAGCTAGTAATGTCAGAGACAAAATTGGAACCAAAGTGTTCTGATTCTCTGTCCTTTGCTCTTTGTAACTAGAGAACACAGCTTGGTACTTGTATTGCTTTTACATGGCTGCCATAACAAACCACCAGGAATCAAGTGGCTCAAAACAACACACATTTATCCTCTTGCTGCTCTGGAGCTCAGAGTCTGCAGTCATTCTCACTGGGCTAAAGTCAAGGTGTCAGCAGAGGTGATTGCTTCCAGAGGCTTCGGGGAGGAATCCATGGCTGGGCCTTTTCGGTGGCCTCCTGCAGTCCTTGGTTCATGATCCCTTCCTCGTATCCCTCCAACTTCTTGCTTTCATCCTCCCACCTCCTGACTCTGGCCCTCTTCCAAGTACCCTTGTGATGGCATTGGTCCCAGTCAGCTAATCCGGGATAATCTCCCATCTCCAGATGCTTCATTTAATCACATGTGCACAGTTCCTCTCATTGTGCAGGGTGATATATTCACAGGTTCCAGGCGGCAAGACGTGTACATCTTTGGAGGCCGTTATTCAGCTCGCCACATCCATCTACCTGTGTTATCACCTCTTCATTTCTCTGAAAACAAACAATACAGAAAGCAGAAGAGATTTCTGGAGCCTAAACCGTGTAGTAGCATTCATGCAACGGTGGGGCCATTCTCTTCACCTGGCACAGCACCTTGGCCACTTTCAGTCCCCCTGACTTCTGGATCAGCAGGAGGGCCGCCATCCCCCTATTTTACCATTAGTAAAAGCAAAACATTTAAGATTTTGGTTCAGTTAGAAACTGTGGTTCAGTTAGAGTTTTTAAAGCATACCTGCTTGTACCAAGTAGAATTTAGTAGTAGTCAGTGTTTACAACAGGATTTCAAAGTCCTTTGGTTCTTAATTCTTTTGTTAACATTCATATAGGAGATTTCATTTGTTTCTTCAATTTTTTTCTTTTAACCTTGTGGCAAGAGATAAGAGAACACTTGCCTAGTGGCTACTTGTTTGTTTGACTTCATGTCCCTGGACTGTGACAAAGGGCAGAGTGTGTGGTAATGAAAACTTATTCATAATCTTAAATATGATGTAAGTGGCTGAATTGGAAAGGGAGATGCCCATTACCAAAGGCCCTGGTGGGGAGAAGGCCTTATTAGTGCTGGAAGGTCGTCACGGTGGAGAGTTCAGACATAGCTGTGCTATTCGCAGACAGAGTAAACTCATCATTCTTGGAATTTCATTCTTGGGAAATGATTGAAAGAGGGTGTAAAAATATTTACAACTTATATGAACTTACCACTATCCAAATATTCTGAACACCTGGGATTATGTTTTATTAAAAACACACAAAGTCGGCACTCAGTAAATATTTGCAGAGTGTTGAATGAATGAGTGAACCACTGGTGACTGTTTCTACCTGAGAAATAAATGAAGAATGTATTCATTTGGGCTTGTATGTTTCCTCTGCATTCAATGATGACCTACAGATCCAATTGACTGTAGGGCTGAGCGCCTAGGCCTGTGACTAGAAAGAGCTAGATTTGGTTTGTTTACGAGATAAAATTGAGGGAAAACATTTCTTTTTTTTTTTTTTTTTTTTTTTTTGAGTCGAAGTCTTGCACTGTCGCCCAGGCTGGAGTGCAGTGGTGATATTGGCTCACTGCAACCTCTGCCTCCTGGGTTTGAGTGATTCTCCTGCCTCAGCCTCCTTAGTAGCTGGGACTACAGGCACCCGCCACCACACCTGACTAATTTTTTGTATTTTTAGTAGAGACAGGTTTCACTATGTTGGCTAGGCTGGTCTTGAACTCCTGACCTCAGGATCTGCTTGCCTCAACCTCCCAAAATGCTGGGATTACAGGCGTGAGCCACCGTGCCCGGCTGAGGGAAAATATTTCTCTGGACTTAATCGGGCCCTCAAGAATGTTTAAAATAGTAGCAGAGAAATTTCTCCTATCAATCCAATGTCTCAGTGACCAATTCTACACCTCCAGGCTTCTTATATGGAATGGGATGGGGGGGGGTGTTGCCGATGTTAGAGGGGGTTGTGGACCCCAAGGACAATCATTGAGTCAGAACCAACAAATGTTTGAGCAACTCTCAGGTTCTAGGCCTTTTTAAAGATGTTATTTCATGAAATTCAACAACTGTGTGAAATAGATATTGCACCCATTTTACAGATTCATAAAACTTCAAGGAAGATTAAGTGACCTGATAAAGTGGAAGATCAATGTATTCCAGAGCGCCTGTTTTTCAACTCCAAATACTCTACTGTTTTGACTCCACTGTGGCTAATTATTAAACCAGAAATTTCTGTTAGGCAAAAGGACAGGGAGTGTGTGAGAAGTGAGGTCATAACTTTGACACATCTTCAAAACGTTTTAGGATAGCAAACTGACAGAGAGCAGGGTTGGCTTAACTTTTGGTTTTGCAAAGGGACATGAAAGCAGGCACTCTAGACGCTGGTGCCTTGAATCCCGGCTCCACCATGCACTCACGATGAGACTTTGAACAAGGCCCTTCACCCTCCTTTGCTGCATCTCCTTATCTTTAGGATGGGAATGAAAACACCTACTTACCAGGTGGAGAGGATGAGGATCAACAGGATAGTCTATGTGATGTGCTCAGTTCATGGCTCACAGGAAGTGCTCTGGTAAGTGCCTGCAATAATTACTTTGAGGAGGTCAAAGTCCTTTAAAAATGTTTATTCATTTTAATCAGAGTTAGTCTTCCTTTAAGCGTCTTTCCTGTTTAAAGAGTCTATGATTATAAAGTTGTAGATTATTATTTTGGGGATGAATAGACTTGTCTGTCAAAATTTAATGCTTTTGTATATAAAAATTCTAATCTTTCTATAAAACTGTAATGTTATTGCTCTTTCTCTGCAACATTTTCAAAGCGTCCCACTTTGGGAATAACTTTATGTACCGTCATCATTTTCCAGACCACACATAAAGAGAGAAGTTGCATGCTAATTATGATTATTTCATAACAAAATGAGCTAAAACAACATGCCATCATTCTGTGCTACCACACATTAACTAATCATCACTCCATTATGAACAAGCCCAACTGTGAGAGCAGAGGCAGCGTGATGGGGACACTGGGCCAGCAATGCCACTTACTAGCTGGGTCCTTTTTTTTTTTTTTTTAAATTAGACAAAGTCTCATTCTGTCATCCAGGCTGGAGTACAGTGGTGCAATCTTGGCTCACTGCAATTTCCACCTTCCAGGTTCCAATGAGTCTTCTGCCTCAGCCTTCTGAGTTGCTGGTATTACAGGCATGCACCACCATGCCCAGCTAATTTTTTGCATTTTTATTGGAGACGGGGTTTAGCCACATTGGCCAGGCTGGTCTTGAACTCCTAACCTCAGGTGATCTGCCAACCTCGGCTTCCCAAAGTTCTGGGATTAAAGGCATTAGCCACCATGCTTGGCTACTAGCTGGGTGCTTCTTCTCCAGATTATCTGCTTTATCCTTCCATCTGAACTCTATAGTTCAAAGTTGGCTGTAAAACCAACTGAAAATGATTCAGTCCATGAGGAAATATATGTCTGGAAAGTGTCCTTCCAGATGGCAAACCTGAATAAAATCCTTTGCTCCAAAATGGAAGTGGACAAGGCAACAGGGTTATCTGGTTTAAGTGCCTCGCTTCTGTTTAGAGCCATGTATTCAGGTTGATTCTCTTCCAACTACTTCTCCTGCTTTGTGTCAGCTAACCATGGGAAACATTGAACTTGCAGGTTGGATCTCATTTTTGTTTTAATTTTATCCAGTGCGTGGAGTAAGGATCTTGAAAGTCCACCAGTGCTTTTGGTACTGAAAATGCAGCAGGGGATTAAGACTTGACCTGGCGTCTTCCAGAAGGCCACAAGATGGGGATGTTACTCCATACACTTAGATCTTTTCATTCATTCTACAAATAATTATTGAGCACCTACTGTGTGCCTGGTATTGTGCCAGGCTTTGGGAATACAGTGATGAATAAAACAAACCTTGCTAATGGAGGTTACGGAGTTTCATAGAGAAGGCAGATGTTTGAAAGTGGATTTATTAGTGTACTTACTACTGTGATGGAGGGGGCCATAGGAGTGCGTGATAGGGACCCTAAAGCCAGTCTAGGGAGGGCCTGGAGAGAACTCATGGAAGGTTCCCTAAGGGAAGCAATGTGTAAGCTGAAACCTGCAGAACGACTAAGTATTATCTAGGAGCAGTGTTGTCATCTAGGCGCAGGAGTGGCATGCCCAGAGGCCCAGCAGGGAAAGCAAACTTGGTCCTTTAAAGAAGCTGAAAAATGTTAAACCTTTGATATAACATTTTAGAAGCCTATGGGTAGACAGTGGTGAAGAGTTGAGGCTGGGCCAAACCAAGGAGGGACTTGAAGGCCACATACAATCCCTAGGACAGTGGGAAGGTGATTCCTCTTTCACGCACTCATCTACTTGAAGGTCTTTCTTACTCCCTCCTCCACCCAGCACAATCCCAATTCACCTCGGTTTCAATGCTCAGGGGCCCTCTAGGAAATGGGCACTGATCCACCAAGCCTGGGTTGGGAACATCTCCTGGGGGTGCCATTGCACATTATATGTTCCCGTCAATCACTCATGGAGCAACTGTCACTCACAGACAGGATGTGGGCTCAGCATACAGAGATTTGAGTCCTACTTTTTGGCTCAGTTTCCTGAAGCTAATCATAGCAACCCTCTGAGATGGTTTTGTGAAACAATTTGAGAGTTTAGTATATTGCTGGGCACATAGTATGTGTTTAATAAGTATTAGCTATTGATTTTGATTATCCCAGGTATTTAACCACTGATATCCATTATCCTGGATTGCAGTTTTCTTAATCACTTGTCTGCTTCTCCTATTGTACCCCAAGATTCTTGAAGACAGGGACCCTATTTTATTTCATTATTTCAGCTCCTGTCCAACCACTATGCCCAGAGTAAAGGAAGTTTTGATCAATAGTTACCCAATAAATGAGCATACTTGACCATATTCAAACACTTTAAACAATTAGCTCACCAATTAGCTCCCAGGTGATACAGCTGAAGATTGTGCTAGGGAAGTGCTTCCGTGGTCTGTCCTGTAGGGAACTGGCAGATGGGATCTCCCCGAGAGCAAAAAGCACCCCTGGCTCGGTTTTCATATCCTTACTTTATTTTTCCAAGTTTTTGTTGACAATCCTTATTTTAATCAATGTTCATTGCTTTCTGAATTTATTGAGTGGTTTTATAAAATTTATTTAATCTTAAAAACTTTAGCTCAATGAGAGTATTCATATTTTTATCTTAACCCATTTTAAGCAACTTAGAAACATGTGTTTAGTATTATAGAAATCCCTTTACTTGAATTTTTAAAAACTGAGCCCTAGTTTATTTAGATTAATATAATCAGTTAGACATTTGGGAACAATGTGACTAGTGATTTATTTTTGAATTTCTAACACATGAGAAGGTATTGAACTGACCTCTAAAAATGTGTACATTTTTTCGTAGTTGAACACGCATGGGATTATAAACCTAGAAGTAGGAATCTACCCTTGGGTTTGCCTTAAATGAGCTTTGCAGCATTGGGAACTCGATTTTCCTTTTATGAACCTCTGTCTTATCTCTGAACTTGGCCAGATCGAGCTAGATTTCAGCTAATGTTCTCTCTGAGCTCCCAAATCCCATGGTTTGCTCTCTTTCTGTCCAGATGATGAACCAGTATGCTTTTGGCAAAAAAGCCTGCTGTCTATATAAATGCAGTGGATGAAAAGCAGACACTGATTTCTCTTTCTACTATAACAGTTTTTTTTTTTTTTGAGACGGAGTTTCGCTCTTGTTACCCAGGCTGGAGTGCAATGACACGATCTCGGCTCACTGCAACCTCTGCCTCCTGGGTTCAGGCAATTCTCCTGCCTCAGCCTCCCGAGTAGCTGGGACTACAGGCGCGCACCACCGTGCCCAGCTAATTTTTGTATTTTTAGTAGAAATGGGGTTTCACCATGTTGACCAGGATGGTCTCGATCTCTTGACCTCGTGATCCACCCGCCTTGGCCTCCCAAATTGCTGGGATTATAGGCGTGAGCCACCACCTCCGGCCTCTACTATAACAGTTTTATTGCAATTCTGCTTTCTTGGGGGGAGGCGGTGAGATAACAGCTGAAAGCTATTTATTGAGTGCTTACTAAATCAGGCTAAGTATTTACATGCATTATTCAATTGGATTCATAGGAACTTTATGATATAGGTAGTATTACTAGCCATATTTTTACCTGTGAGAAGGCCGAGGTTCAGAGAGGTTGAGTGACTTAGCCAAAGTCACACAGCATTAAGGAGTAGAGGGAAGCTGATTCCACAGCCCACTCTCTTGGCCATTATGCTGTATTGACTGCTTCTTACAGAAGGTCTACTCTTTGTCTAGGCTTTGTGGTAGGCAATCCACAGACATTCTTTCACTAAATGCTCACAGTGCTCCTATGGAGAAAATCTCATTAACTTCATGCATTTTTTTTTTTTTGGTAAGAGCAGTAAGAAATTATAGGACCAAGGTATATTAAGGAGAATGAGAGCTCATAAACATAAATAGGAAGAACTCGAGGCTTTGATATGGAAGCTGTTTAAGGAATATGAATGTCATTTAAACACTGGAGCTCTCCTCTGACTTAGACTTCGTCATGATCTAGAAAGCCAGCCACGACTTTGTCGGAATTTTTTTAATTCTGGCATTAGTAAAAATGAAAAATTTTTATTATGTTATTATATAATAGTTTATATAATATATAAACATTGAATTATAATGGATTATAAACATTCATTATAATAGATTATAATAAAATAAGTTATAGATTATATATAATGTATGGTACTTTGAATTTTTTAAATTCTGAGATTAAACACAAAATGAAAAGGTTTATTATATTATTATATAATATAGTTTATATAATATATAAATATTTTGTTATAATGAATGATAAACATTCCACTATTTGGATTATAGTAAGATAAGTTTCTATTATATATATTTACAAATATAGTTTATTACACTATTGTATAATCCAGGCTATTATCATAGCCTCTGCCCTCAAGAAATTCAGGTTTCTACTCAGGACTGCGAGATCTTGTCAAGTTAGTAACTTCTCTGACTCTTAGCTTTCCGTATCTATAGCTATACAGTAACTATAATTACTGCCTAGTAGGGCTGTTCTGATTATTAGGGACAATATATGCATCTGCAACAATGCAGAAAAACAGAAGATGCTCAATAAATGGTAACTGCAGTTATTTTTATTATTTTTCTATATTATTGTTGTTCCTGATCCCACTAGAACTTTTTGAAATCAAGGGACGTGGCTCTGTACAGTGATCTTCAGATAACAAACATACAAAAATATTTTTAAATAAAAGAATTTGAGCAGTGTCCAGTGGTTATAAATCCTTTTCACTGACAGGACTAGTTAGGAGGAACCAATTCGTGTTTTCACAGAACCCATGAGATTAACGAGCTTTGGAAGTGAACTCTGGAAATGGATGTGAAGTGTGAAAAGGCTGGAGAAGGAGGGATGGTGAGGATTTGGTAATGGGCTGGACATGGTGAAGGGTGGATGAGGGAACGATTCATGCATCACTGAGCTTTCCAGCTTGAATGGTTGGGTCAGGAAAAATGTGACGAGGAGCAGTATGGGGTAGAAAGGAATTAGAATAGTTCAATTTTGGACATGTTGAGTTTGAGGTGTGTGGTAGGCAGCTGGACACATGAGTCTGAAGAGATGGAATGTAGCGGGTCTCAGAGGCTCTGAGAGTGGACACAGGCTGTTCAGAGCTGCTGGCAGGTTCATTCAGAAAAGATTTGTTGAAAAACACTGACCAAGAAATTGTCTATAATTTCCATACCAGCTTCCATGAGCGTATCTGCTGCCTGGTTTCTTCTGTCATCTATCAGAAACTTGCCTTTTTTTTTTTCTTTAGCCTTTCCTACTTTTTTCAATTCCGTGTTGCATTTTAACATTGGCCTTTAAAGCTTCAGAAAAAAAAAAAAAGCCCTGTCAGTACATAAAGTGGAAATTTCAGGCAGACATAAAAGAGGATGAGTGTTCAAATTTTCCTAAAGTTTAGAAGTGAGTTCTTAGCACTCATTAAACCATAATCTTTTGGTACGTAAGAGAACTCTAGATTGTATTTTAGCGTAGGTCCCTACAAATTTCTTCCCATCCCAAATGCATTAGACCTAGTTCACTACTTTGATGCTGAATTCAGTGCTTTATTTTCTTATGTTTATTGTCTGCAGAAACACATTAAACAAAAAAAAAAAATGACAACATGGAGATTAAAAACTCACATGATAACATAAATCTGAGACTGGACACAATAGAACAATTGCATTTTTATTATAATAGAAATAGAATTTCATTTCTATTATAAATGAAATTACTCACTAATATAAATTATAAGTTTCCTTTCCTAATGTTCTTAAAGATTATATCATTTCCTTATCCATTTCCTGAAGCAAAATAGGCTAGCTAATTTTATATGCAGTCATTTTCAGGCAAACAACTGTACTACTTTAGCAACTCTATGCTTGGATACTTAGCTCAAGGCTTACTCTCTTCTCTGCCAGCCTTTATTCCATGCACTCTCATAAAGTTTTACAAGCCCAATTTTGAAGCTTCAAAGTCTTAGGGGAAAAAATTAAAAGCAGACAAAAACTAAAACAAAAACTTCCAAGTCTTAAAGTCTCGGAATTTTGTGATTGTAAAAGTATCACTAATACTTTTACAATCTACTTCCCAAAGTAAAAAAGAAATAAAAAATTAAATAACTAAATAAAAGTTACATCAATTATGTAATTTAGCTACCAAGGTAAAAAAAATTAATAATAATTAAATAAAAGTTACATCAATTATATTGACTTTTAGGAAACTTCTCTATTAGATTCCTATCGTTGCTAGAAGAAATTACCAACAAACTTAGTGGTTTAAATCTACATATTGATTCTTTTTGAATTCTGGAGTGTAGATGTCCATGCTCACTTTGAGCTAAAACCAAGGTATTGGTGGGGTTCTGTTCCTTTTTGGAAGCTCCAGGAGAGAATTTGTTTTCTTACCTTTCCCAGCTTCCAGAGATGGCCTGCATTCCTTGGCTCATGGCCCCTTCCAACTTCAGAGCCAGCAATGGGTTGAGTCTTTTTCATATTGCATCTCTCTAACACTGACTTTTCTTTTCCCCTTCTCTTCCACTCTTAAAGAATTTTGTGATTATATTGAGACTGCCTGGATAATCCAGAGCAATCTTTCCCTTTAAGATCAGTTGATTAGCAAACTTGATTCTCTCTGCTGCCTCAATTCCCCTTTATCCTGTCATATATCTATTTACAGGTTCTGAGGATTAGGACATAGCATCTTTGGGGCATTGTTATTCTGTCTGACACACTTCTTACTATACTAAACACATATTATGACATATTAATAGTCATAAAATTGGATACGTCTACATAAAAGAAAACAGGATTCCAATATAGTCAAGTTTTATGTAATTGTGCTGAAAAGTAACCTAAAATGTTAAGTGCAGCATTTTCGATGTAAGGTGCCCACTGAGAAGCGGAGTACTGAACTTAGGTGACATTGTGGTGTTTGGGAGTCAGGGAAGGGTCAGAAAAGACAGATTAGTAAGTCATCGCGGGTTGCTCCAGGCAATGCTATTCCGTGTAACTTCCTGAGATGATGGGGGTGTTCTATATCTGCACTGTCCAATAAGGTAACCATTAGCTCCACGTTGTTATCGCGCCTCTGATGTGTGGCTAGTGCAAACGGGGAACTGAATTTTTAATTTTATTTAATTTAAATCTCAACAGCCACATGGCTTCTGTATTGGACAGCACAACTCTAGAATCAAGACCATCGTGGATCAACTGTGGATACCACCTTGCATTTTAATTCTCTGAATGGAAAGGTATGTGTATAGGTGTGCACATACAGATGTTCATGCATTATAAGATGTTAGTGGCTGGGTGCGGTGGCTCACACCTGTAATCCCAACACTTTGGGAGGCCGAGGAGGGTGGATCACAAAGTCAGGAGTTTGAGACTGGCTGGGCAACATGGCGAAACCATGTCTCTACTAAAAATGCAAAAATTAGCCAGGCGTGGTGGCAGGCACCTGTAGTCTCAGCTACTTGGAAGCTTGAGGCAGGAGAATCACTTGAATCCAGGAGGAGGATGTTGTAGTGAGCTGAGATCATATTACTGCACTCCAGCCTGGGCGACAGAGCAAGACTCTGTCTCAACAACAACAAGAAGGATATTAGTGATAATCAGAATTCTATGGGTTAATATTTATAATATATGACACTTAAGAGGACTGTTTAAACAAAATTCAGTAAGATGCTTCATCTTTATTATGAAAAATGATAATAACATATTTTTAGATGGAATTCAATGGTTATTTCAGTTCATGCTGATCGACGGAAGCTACTCCCTCAAGGGAAAATAGGTGCTAAAAAAGAGTAATGAACTGTTTCAGGTTCCTAGGGCAGGAGAACATTCATTGGTTAGTTCAGCAAACATCACTGGCACTCTAAGTTCGTGGCATTGTTGTAGGCTCTGCATGATGAGCAAAGATAAGTAAAGCACAGTACCTACCCCAGGATGCTTATACTGTGAGGAGGGACAGAGTTTCCTCTTCCTGTCTACCACGTTCTTGCAACATTCTGGCTCACTCGAATGTTCCAGTGGACCACTCGCTTGATTCTCTGGCCTTGCAATTCCTTGACCATTTCATACTCAGACTTTTACTTTCAGTAGGATCTGGCCATTCATCTCCTCTCCAGGGCTATTTCCAGGATCTGTCATCATCAGGGGTCACTTTATCTTCATGTCAGGCATCCTGTTCACAACCTATACCCTGTTGTTACCTCCATCCCTGTTCTTGGCCCCATTGTGGCTCCAGTCCTCTTAGCCCCCTGCTTCCCTCTGCCCATCATCAGCCTTTGATGGTTTGTACTTTCTTTTCTTGCTTTTGTTTACTCATGACCTTGAACATGTTCTTCTATCTACCTAGATGACCTTCAACTGCCACTTGGATGTTTATCTGCTCCAGCTAAACTCATGGCTAATAGGAGCATTGTGGTAAAAAGAGCCCTGAATTTGGACTCAGAAGTCTTGGAGTTCAAATCTCAGTTTGGCCTTTTACTGAGATTTGAATTTGACGGTTTTTAAAAATAAGTGTAAATTATTTAACCTATTTGAATCTTCGTTAACCTCTCTGCAAATTGGGGGGAACTAATTTTTTGTTTTGTTTTCCCGTTTTTATTTTGAAATAATTTTAGAGTTCCAAACAGTTGTGACAGTAGAACAGATAATTTCTTTGTATCCTTTTCTCACCTTCCCCTGATGGTAGCCTCTTATATAAACATAATGCATTATCAAAAACTGGCGTGGATATAATATAATGCTATGAACTAAACTATACACCTAATTTCACCTATTTTTTTAATATGCAAACATGTTGTGGGGGGGGTGTATAGTTCTGTAATACTTTATCACACATGTAGATTCATGTAACTTCCACCACTGTCAGGGCACATAACTGTTATGGACTGAATGTTTGTGTCCCCCCAACCCCACCAAATGCATCTGTTGAATCCCTAATCTCCAGTGTGATAGTGTTTGGAAGTGAGGCCTTTGGGACATGATTAGATCATGAGGGTGAAGCCCTCATGGTGGGATTAGTGCCCTTATAAGAAGAGACAGAGGAGGTTTAGCTTTCTCTCTCTCTGTCTCTCTGCCTGCCCTGTGAGGATACAAACAGGAGGCAGGACCGCACCCAATAGTGGACCTGCTGGCTCCTAGATCATGAACTTCCCAGCCTCCAGAAACATGAGAAATAAATATTTGTGGTATAAGCCACTCAATCTTTTGTGTTTTTGTCAAAGCGGCCCTAAGACCGCAGCTGTTCCATCACTGCAAAAAAACTCCATAAAACTTTTATATTCACACCTTCTTCCCGATCCAGACCTTGAGGGACCACTCATCTCTCATCACTATAATTGTGTCATTTCGAGAATAGTTTATAAGTGGGATCATACAGGATATATTTTGATTGGCTTTTCTCACTCACCACATGGCCCTTGAGATCCATCCAAGTTGATGTTTGTATCAATTTTTATTCCTTTTTGTTGCTGAGTAGTACTCCATTACATGGATGTTCCAGTTTATTTACACATTCATGCACTTGTGGACATGTGTGTTGCTTCTAACTTTTGTTACATCAAAAGCTGCTGTGAATATTTGTGCACAGGTTTATGGGCAAACGTAACCTTTTCTTTCTCTAAAATAAATACTCGGGCATGTAATTGATGGGTCACGTGCGTTACAATGGAAATAACTCATTAACAACTAAGTATATACCTGAAAATTACCATGCAAAAATATTGGAATTCTGCGAAGTCAGATTAATTATATTTTGTAGCAGTCCAATCGGGAGAGAATATGGACATAGAAAATGAAAGAAATTTGAGCATGAGTGTTTAAAATCACATAAATTTTGTTAGTTTGTTTCTCCCACTTAATTGAAATAATGAAATATTTCTCACCTTTACAGGTTATTAAAATGCTACATCAAGGGCAACATGACACATCCTTGAGGTGATGGAACTGTTTTGTATCTTGACTGTGGTAGAAGCTACATCAACCTATATATAACTAAAATTCCACAGACATGTAGCACACACACTTAAATAATTGAGGGAATTTGAACAAGGCTAAATGATCATATCCCTGTCAATATCCTCCTTGTGACATTGTGCTGTAGTTATGTGAGATAATACCACTGGGAGAAACTAGGTAAAGGATACGTGGATCTATGTATTGTTTTTTAACAGTGTAATGAGAAGTTATCATTATTTCAAAAATAAAAAGCCATGTTTGAAAAAGCCACAAGGACACATGGGGGAACAATACATACTGGGGCCTTTCAGAGCGTGGAATGTGGGAGGAGGAAGAGGATCAGGAAAACAACACTAATGGGTTCTAGGCTTAATATCTGGGTGATGAAATAATCTGTGCAACAAATCCACGTGACGCAAGTTTACCTATGTAACAAACCTGCACTTGGACCCCTGATCTTAAAATAAAAGTTAAGAAAAAAAGCCACATCCACCATTTGCTTTATTTCTGGCGTTTGTCAGCAATGTGCAGCCTTTGAATAATCTCCGAATATTCAGAGTGCATAAGGCACAGTGAAAAAGCTCAACTCCCTATCCTGAAACATCATTTATTGAGCACCTACACAAATGAACAATTTGCATGATCAAAATGTACTGAACCATTTATAACTCAGAAATAGGACCTTCCACCCTTTGTTCAGCCCACTCTTTTCAAGGATACTTGGTAGCATCTTAGGCAAACTATTCTCGACCCCTCCCATTCTTGAGATGCATGCTACGGAGTTCTTGATTGGGTTCTGCACTGATCCAAGTGTGCTTGCTTTGGAAAAATTCTATTTTCACTTGTCTAATAGCTAATTCTTGAAGTTGGGAAATGAGGTCAGGTAAACATTCAGCCACAGTACTGAATTATAGCTATAGATACTGGGAGGTGTTTAGAATCTAGCCTGATTTAGAAAGAGCAGTCTTTGAAAGCCCCAGAATGAAGTGACCCAGTTATTCTCCTTTCTTCAAACACTGTCTTCTGAATTGTCTCTGACTGTCAGAAATATGCTGGAGATGAACTGTGTAAGGGTACCAACCCTGTTTTGTTCATAAAGCATTTCTCCCAGCAATCCATCCAGCTGAACCTTGTAATTACATCCAGAGCCTGCTCACCATGGCGACCGCGGCCACTCTATCGAATATTAAATCTATTGATCTTGAGCACAGAGCCCATCTCAGTTTTCAAATGGCCCATGCAGTCTCTTTCCCCAGGGCTGAAGTATATCTGAGCTTCTTATGGGCTTCCAAAGGCTCATCTTATCTCTTGGCACAATATGTTCTTTTGACTTGCTGGTGATTTTGTTATTTCACGCAGGCAGGTGCAGACCAGAGGAAAGAAAAAGGGAAAGGAGTCCAAGGAATGCTCAGTTCTTGCTTTTCAAGATCAACTTTTCCTATGCCCGTTACTCTCATACCCAGGTCATTTCCTGAACTCCTCAACCTCTTAGTGTGAGAGCTGCCTCTTTTATTTCTCTCAGGCAGTGCACCGTGCTGGGAAGATGCACCGTGGGCTCCTGGAGCAAAGAGCGCCCTGTTGAACAGAGCTACCTTTGAGCCTATAACGAAAAATTGCCTACGAGGTTGATTAGTTGACCTTGGGCTGGACTAGTCTGTTTGAAATGTGGCAGGGTGTAACTCTTACATTATGTTACAGTATCAAACTGCCTTCTAGTGTGTGAAATTATATCATGGTGTGTGGAATTATAACATTATGTTATCACATCATAGAATAACAGCATACTATAAAAATTTGAGACATTATAGGAAAAAAAACTTGATCTAATAGTCAGAATACCATGGACCAATTCCAGGCTTTCTTTTAAAAAGAATAACTTGTATAATTTTAAGGGATGCAAGTGTGATTTTGTTACATGCATATACTACATAGACATACAATCTGGGCTTCACAGCAACCGTCACCTGAATAATGGACGTGATACATGAAGTAATTTCTCAGCCCTCACTCTGCTCCTGCCCTCCCAGCCATCCAGGTTTCATTATTTATTTGCTAGTTGTGTTGCTTAGCTTTAACTTCTTCTTGGTCCACCTCTGCAAATTGAAATTAAGTATAATTATACTGATCTTAGAGGTGTCTCGATAGAATAAGACAGGATGTTTAGCTAAAGCATACTACTGTTGAGAAAGTAAGAGGAAAAATAATCATTTACTATAAATCATTAAAACTCAAGTGCAGTTTTAGAAGAAACAGACAAAATAACCTTAGTTAGTATCTGTCAGAATAT